GGGGGTGGGGCAACCCCTCCCCCGCCAACCAATCAGTCAATCAATTAATCAATCAATCAATCAATCAATCAATCAAAAAAAAAAAAAAAGGAAAATCGAATGAATCTTTCGTTAGAACTTGGAAATATACAATACTTTGTGTGTGTCTGTGTGTGTGGGCCTGTTGGGGATGGGGTGCGACCCCGCCCCCACTAATGGATCAATCAATCAATCAATCAATCAATCAATCAATCAACGAAAAAAAAAAAAAAGCAAAATTGAGTGAATCTTCTGCTAGAACATGGAAATATACAATCCTACCTATGTGTGTGTGTGTGTGTGTGTGTGCTCCTGTGGGGCCAATCAATCAATCAATCAATCAATCAATCAATCAATCAATCAACAAAAAAAGAAAAAAAATAAAAAAGGGCATTTTTTTTTTTTTTTTTTTTTCCGAAATACTTTTACTCACCCGAACCCCCCCAACCAAAAAATTATTTTTTTTTATTTTTGTTTGTTCGAGGGGGTGGGGCAGGGGTTGCGCCGCCCCATGGCGCTTCCCGAATCCCCAACCCCCCTCCACACTAGCCACCATGTGGCTTCAAAGTCGCGCGTCCGCGGGGCGTGTCCGTGGGGTCGGCGGCCTGGCCGCGTCCACGGATTCGACCGCGCTTGGCCGCCGCCGACGGGGATTCATAGCGCTGCGACGCTCTAAGCCAAGGTCAGAGCTCGGGCCACGGCGCCCGCTTCCGTCCGTCGGAACGAAACTTGACTCCATGCAAAGATCGACGAATACCGCTTGAAGATGGATGCGCCCAACTCCCTTTCTCCATTTCTTCTTTGTGTCCTCAACCTCAACGAGGTGTCGGGCACCCGTGGTGGATATAGAGAGGTCGGTCGCTCGCAAGAACACAGGTGACTTATCTCTCCGGAAGTATTCGCCTCCTCTTGGGGTCCTGACCAGCGCTAGAGAGAGAGAGAGAGAGAGAGAGAGAGAGAGAGAGAGAGAGAGAGAGAGAGAGAGAGAGAGATGGGGAAAGGAGGTGGGCGCGTATCACACACACGCTCGCACGATTGACAAAAAGGGAAGGGAGGCGGGAATAACCAACGCATTCATGCCCTCATGCAAGCAATCGGCACTCAATTATTCCGCTCCTCAGGCACAAAGGTGCATACACACACGCATACCCAGAGACTCAGAGAGCCCTCAATGAAACCTTCCACATCCATAGATTGTCATACCCGACATGCATAACAGACTACCCAACCTTTGCAGTCATGCACACATCACACGGAGACAAAGCAGCAATAGAGAAAAAACTTCGTCTTTAAAAATACAAAATTCTCACGACTGGCCACTCCGGGCCCAGTCCCCAACCAATCCGTCAAAACCACTGGCAACCATAGCCACAAGGCCCTGCCGCTGCCAGCGTCTGATCTCCACCATCGCTCCGTCCCTCCGACTGCCTTACCCCAAGTCCACCGCTAACTCCGCCACCCGCCGTCACTCCGCCCACCATAGGGCACGTCGAGCCTTTCTGGCGCCGTAGGCTTCGTGCATAGCTTGCGCAGCTTACAGCCGAGATCAAAAGAGAGTGAGAGGAAGGGTTTGCAAGAATTTATAGCGCAGAAGGCGGCGGAGAGGCTGCACAGAGCATGGGGTGTCGATGAGAAGGACAGAGAGGGGCAGAGTTTCCAGAAGTGCCGAAGGAGGCAAGTCGAATGGTCTGCGTGATTGGGGTGGTCGTCCAAGTGGGGTGCGCTTCCCGCAGCCACCAATTGCCCCGACCATCCCAATCAGACAGCCAATCGTTCGCAGGGAAAGGAGAAGGAGGGGATCAAACTTCGCTTAGAGGGAAGATGAGGAGACATGCTGGAGGGAGATACATAGCAAGAAGGGAAGATGGAGCGGGAATGCAGAGCGGGAGGAGGGGTTTACACGGCGCGCAAAAATTCAAAAACAGCCGCGCGCGAAAAATTAAAAACTCCTACTCCCGCTAATTCCCAACCGTTTCTTGAATTCTCTGGCGCGGCCGCTAACCGGCCACGCAAAACCCGAATTACATTTTCTACTCCGCTCCTCTTAAACAAAAGAAAAAGGGAAGAAAGAAAAAAAATGAAGCACTGTTTTTCCCATTATCTTGAATCCATACTTTGGGGTTCTGCGTGGGATTTTCCCTTAGGGGTACGGGAAACCGCCGAGTACGGATCCTGGCTCATCACGGCCTAGCTGGTGGGGTGAGAATAGGGTATAGCAGCAGCGGAGATGGTGGCTCTGCTGCAGTAAGTCTTGCCGGAGTGGGGTACAGGGGATTGATTGGTGGTGTCTGAGTCTTGTTCTAGATTGTGCATATGTTTTTGTTTCAAAAAACAAAAGAAGGGTGGGTGGGGTTTTAAAAAAAGATGGTGGGATATCAAGCGTCCTACTAGTGAGGGGGCTAGTTGGTAGGATGGAAATAGGGTACAGCAGCGGCGGAGATGGTGGCTCTGCTGCATTAAGTCTTGCCAGAGTGAGGTAAAAAGGATTGCTGGGGGGTTTCTGAGTCATTTTCTGAATTTTGCTTATTTCTGAAGTTGTCATAGTAATTTCCTGAGTAGCTCCAATGGCCCCGTTATCTCAATTTTCAAAGTTCTATGTAAAACTTCCATATGGGAGGCTAGGCCAAGTTCCCAGCACGTGCGGCTCCCCACGAATAGATTGGAGCCCTATTCCCATTTAAAAAAAAAGAAAAAATAAATAAATAAATAAAGACATTCGGATGATTCGGTGCTTTTCAAGACTTTAAATCGTGATCTTGCAAAAAGGGTAAGATGGCAGCGATTGCAGTGTCTTGCATTGCATTCATCGTCATTCCATGGTGGTTAAATTTGGCGATGATCAAGGGCCTCGTTAGACACTCCTTACGGTTTTTTTGAGCCACTAGGAAACGTCCTTGTGGATTTGTAGGGGAATCTGCGACGTCGTTCCACTCATCCTTGGGGACGTCCCCCGAGGATGTTTCCTTGTGGCTTCCCCGCGGCCATTTTCATACGTAAATTAACGGTCGCGGGGTCGGATGTCTTTGGTCCAGCTTCTTTTGTCCGTGTGGAGGCAGTGTGGTCCAGCGACGCGAGGCGGGAAACAGCAGACGACGGCCGACGTGGAAAGAAATTTAACCCCAAGGGCGTGGACATTTCAAATTCAAAATTCGAACGACTGGTGCCACGACGACGACGACGTGCGCCTGGTGGCCCGAGGGTGGCGTGCTGCGGAAAGGGGCTGAGCGGCCATCGTGTGGTGCTTCCATCGCCGTGGACCTTTGCACACGTCGAATGCGCGTTGCTCCTCTTTGCCGTTTGCGGGACTGTGAGCATAGAAAAGGGGCCGCCTTTCGACGGACGTCTCCGACTTCTTCGTCGAGTGCAGAAGTACGACACAGAGGGTAGCGGAAAGACGGGACCGTTTCCATGTCGCGGTTATGGAGGGCGGCGCAGAGGGTAGACGTGATGCGTTGACTCATCGTGAGCTGCAGGCCGTGACGACGGCCGTGTCCACGATCGTTCTTCGATGTCAGCAGGAGAGGGAGCTGAGGCAACTGAAGGAGCAGTTGTACGCGCGTAGACGGAGGAAATTTACGCAAGATCCGTGTGATAGGGCTGAATACGTAGCGACGTCGGAGACTGTTGTTCAGTTGTGCTACGCGTTGGGTTGCGGAGTGATACCACGTGTGACGCCGCGTTGGTGGGTGAAGCGCAGGACAGGAGGCACATGGGAGGACCTGAGGCAATGCGACGACGCGACAGACGACTACTTCCAGGATAAGCTTCGAATGTCGCCGCGAGTGTTCAGGGAAATCGCGGAGGCGTGTGCACCTCATCTTCAGTGGCGGGTCACGTTCTACGGGGAGCCTTTGCAGTCGGACCAGATTGTGGCGTACGTGCTATATAGGCGGGCTTCAGGAGAGACGTACGAGAGCAGCACGTGCAACTTCGGGATTGGACGAGCTTCTGGGCTGATTGTCGTCCGCGACGTTACTGCCACGCTGCTAAGGGTGTTCGGAGAAAAGATCGCGTGGCCGACAGTAAACTCGTCGTTCTGCGTGCGTTTGCTGATAAAGGGTTCCCCAACTGCCACGGTTGCATTCATTGTACCCACGTCTACGTCGACAAGCCGGCGAACACTCCGAGCGAAAACTACTACGACAGGAAGCGGCGTTTCTCCATCGTCTCGCAGGTTGTTGTCGACCTGGACTTGCGTGTGCTCGACGTGCTCATGGGATACCCAAGTAGCTGCCACGACATCAGGGTGCTGCAGTTGTCCAGCCCGTCGCTGCGCGCAGAGGAGGGGTCGTTGTTCCGTGGTCCTCCTGTGACACTGCCGTTCGGTGTGAAGACCAACGGGTACGTTCTGGCGGAGAATGGGTACCCCCCTTCAGAATGGATGGTCGTCCCGTATAGAGGCATCAATCAACACATCGACGAGGAGTGATTTGACCAGAAACAGAAGGTGGCGAGGGGAGCAGTGGAGAGGGCATTCGGCAGGCTGAAGGGCATGTGGCGGCTGTTTCTGCGGACACACAAGACAAACCTGGTTACGCTCCCGCAGCAGTTCACCGCCGTGTGCATACTGCACAACATGCTGATCGACGCAGGAATACCCTTCGACGAGAATCTGCTATGGGAGGTCGACGGCAATGGTGTGCGACGACGTGTGGAACAGCCCCTCCAGCCTGTGTCGATGATGACGTCGACAAACGAAGCGTTGGCGCTGAGGGATGCTTTGGCGGAACGATTGAAACACGATTAAGTTGTGTTTCACTCGTGGACGGCAGCGCGTGGAAGTGCATTCATTGCAGCAATGGGCGGAGAGCAGATTCCTTGTTTCGTCCTGTCTTCATTGGGTCGCTATTGTCTTTACCCCGTCGGGGTTGGTGGTTTGCGTGGAGGGTCGTGTTCCCCTTGGTGGACGGCCGTGCGTGGAAGCGCGTTCATTACGGCAATGGCCGGAGGGCAGATCAGTTGTTCTGTCCAGCCTTGATTAGGTTGCTACGTTTTGTCCTGCGTCAGGTTGGTTGTTTGTGTCGAGGATCGTCTTTGGTTGCCGTTGCGATTCTCGAACGTGCGTCGCCGTCCGTTTTGCAGTGCGGACACGGCGCACTGCGGGTGTGAAGTGCGCCGATTTTTGGGCACAGAGGATAGAGCACTGTTGGTCATTTGGATGGCCTGGAACTTGTCCCCCACCTCTCGATTTTGAACTTTTGCTATGAATTGTGTAACGACATCGCAAATCCATTTCTAAGTCTGTATCGTCCATTTCCATTACGTATTGGCGGTGTGTGTGTGTGCGTATCTCATTGCGTCGATATTGTGTGTTGCTATTTCTTTGCGTTAATGCATTGTGCCATTGCATGTTCACAATATGTTTCATGGGACATCTCATGTTCTTTGATGCGCTGCGCTTTGTCTTCATGCGAGTGTTGGACTGGAACACGAAGACATGTTTTGTTCGTCATTCGGAGTAAGTGGGGGAGGAAAAAAAGAAATACAAACCAAACAAAGCAACGACCGACAATGGAACATGCAAATGGAGAAGTGACATCTGAATGTGCATCAAAGAAGGCAAGGACAGTTCAGATGTGTAATGAGTTATCAGACATGATCTTAAAACTGAGGAAATCTCATTCTAAATTGAAATAATAATAAAAAAAAGGTGCGCTCCATGCGCAATCAACTTGTCTCGCGACAAGCTGCGCCGACAAGAACACAAACGAACATCGCACAAACCTAATCCGCTCCTACAATCTGCTGAAGGGACCGCCGTTTACCGTCGCCTCTCCAGCATCGGCAGCCATACAAAATCCACGCAAGCAATTACGACCGCAGTTGTGTCACACACCCTGCCAAATTGAGCGGCCGAAAAAGTCGGGCGTCTGCATGTACGAGCGACACGGTGTACACGTGCGGAACGAAGGGAAAGGCCATCAACAATCCGTTATCGTAATGCCCGCCACCAAACCTGTGTCTCCGACGCCGCACAACGCTGTCCCATCTACGCTACCCTAGCCAACGCCGGAACACGAAACCCGTTCGCATTCCCTCTCCCTCGCTGCACGTGTCAGCATCAGCAACACCCTCTCCCACCCAACCTCCCCCCTACTCGCCCTCTTTTCCATCGTCGTCGTCGTCGTTCTCCAAGGGGCCCGAWCCCAACCAATCCCTCCTCTTCGCGTCCTCTGGCCCCGTTATGGTCGCATCGTGCCCAAAGACGATGCCGCAGGAAGCCCAGTCGGGGATGTACTTCGGGTACTCTCCGAGTGTGGCGTTCGCCTTCCCTAGTCTCTCCGTGACGGCGTTCGTGGCTCGGATGATGGACCATCGATGATCGAAGGCGCGATGCATGGACGCAACGAGCGTGGGCTTCGCGACCAGCTTGACGAAGTAAAAGGCTTCGTAGTGGTTGCGCGGATCTTCTCCCTCCATGCGCGTCAACCACATGCAGGCAGCCAACAAAAGTCTGAATCCGCAAATCTACACGGACGATCGTGCGACAGAACCCACCGTAGACGATGCCATCCATTTCCACCACGGCGCGACATGCATGTGCGATGCATATAACGGTCGCCTCCTGGTGTGTCGCTATGTCGTTGTCCTCCAGCCTGTCCTCGATGTGTGCGCCCACAAACCACAATGGCAAGTCCATGTTCAGGTCGATTGTGTGCGTGCAAACAGCTGTGCTAACGACGTTGCTCCACTCCTCGCCGTACCACATCACACGCGCAATGTCCGTCGCCACCGACTCCAGCTCGTACTGGAAAGCGACATTGAATCCTCGGGGGCGGTTCCCGGACTTGAAGACCCATCCGCGCAAGACGCGCAGAGCAATATTCTCCGTTGCCGTCGCGCGGGCGATCGCCTGCTGTAGTTGTGCGGGATCTGCAATCCTTGTGAGGGTCGTCGACGATTTCGTCATGACAACGCTCCTGGGCACGGGGGGAGTTTGCAGCCCGCTGGCGATGGCGACGAAGTACTCCCGCGATTCGTGGACGATGTTGTACAGCCTTCGCCCCTCCCCCGTCGTCCAGAATGCTTTGTCATCGACCCACAGGCGGGCACGGTCGGCCAGATCTCTCGCCATCCCTCCCCTCCGAACCCGGCTTAGATGGGGGTCTTCATCCTCCCTTTCACCCTTGTTGTCGCCGAGCGTCGCCTCCCGCTCCACAACTGGGACCTCTTCTCTCGCCCTCGCCACGACACTAACATTGCTCGAAGACCCCGCGGCTGCAGCAGCGATCGCCCCCCCACCCGCCACGCACGCTTCTTGCTGGCCCCCCTCCCCTCCCCCTCGTTCCATGGAGCCCCCCTCTGCAGCCGTGTTGCGCGGGCGCGACTGGGACGACGTGGAGGGCAGGTCACCCTGAGGTGGTCTTTCTTCAATCGCGGCGCGTATCCTCACTGCCGTCGCCGTGCGCATTGTGTGACATTGCGCTGCCTACGACTTTCCAACAGCTCGTCGTCCTCGCCGCCGACATCGACGATAACCTCCTTCGCCTTCTAGGTGTTGTGCGCATGCACTTGTTGCACCTCCGGAGGGGGCGTCACCAATCTTCTCGCACCGCTATGATCAGATGAGCGTTGAAGAGTGCTTCCCCGAAGCGCCGGCGCGTTGTCCTCTGTTGCTTCCTCCTCTGTCATGAAGACGTTGTCATCTTCCTCTTCGTTGGCTGCCGTCCAACTTCGCCCTCGCCAAAGAGGCAGGCTTGCAGATGCTTCTTCCGAACGGAGCGTCTTCGCCTTCGGGACATGCCGCCGACCCCTTTCCCGCCCCTGAATGTCCGCGAGGATGTTTTCCCGCTTCTTCCCACTGGCGCCGCCTCGCGTAGATATCCTTCCCGCTGTCGAGCGCATCGGTTCCACACGGGGACCCTCCCGGCCGAGTCACGCAGGATTTGGCAGGACTTGTCGCGGAGAGCATTTGCCGCTCCGGCCGAGTGCGCCAGCCGTACCTCTAGCAAGCCCCTACGACAGGACAGGGTCACGCGAGGCACCGCTTACCTCCACCTGCGGGAGTTGTCACCATCCCTTAGGTGGGCGTATCCCCGCCGAGCTACTGAACCACATGCGAAAGTTTTTCGTACACTATTGTAGAGGTAGCCCAGCCGAGGACGTTTCTCGTTCGTTGTAGCATAGGGGGTTACGCGTGGTCGAACGCCCAAGAAATCGAACCTGCACGCGAATCGATGTTCTGGGGGGCGAAGGTCCCAAGCGAAACTCGGCGCCGGTCGACTAGGACGCATCACGCACACTACGCGTACATCACAACACTCACATCTACCCACACATAACACTGGAAAATACACAAAACAGACATCATGAATGACGCCACAACACCACAATACTCCTAGTCCCTTCAGTATCCGACCCATAATTTTGTGTCGTGAGACTCAGATTGGTATCACGTACTGGATTTTTTTGTATAAGAGTTGTGCGGGCGTGTGCGAGCATTTGCACTGATGGAGTGCTATGTAGTACTCATAAGCGCGCGATCCTCGATAGTCTCGAGGTCACGTTCGACACTCAAGTATCAGCTGATACGAGCCTTAAGGGGTTAATCTCCCAGCGCTAGACAACCGTCATGTGCGGTTAAAGACCACACCCTCTTTTGCACCCTGTGCAGAGGGGTTGAGTAGACAGCTTCAGAGCTGTCGTGGTGGCTAAAGATCAAGGGGTTTGACTTTGACGGTTGCCACGGATCACAACGTCAAACTATATTAATTCCAAAAAGCAAAAGGATAATAGGGGAATCTCTCTTTTCTCTCAACGCATAACTTGTTTAACCCTTGTACGCGGTCACAATAGGTCGCGCGAACACCCAACGCGTATGTATGTACATATATATAGAAGGTTGTGAATATGTGATGATCACTTCTCACAATCACAGTGGGATTTCTTTCAGCCATATATACTTAAGTGATCGTAGGCAGTCAAACCCAAAGTCCGAATCACCAAACATACCTGCAATCACATCAAAGATTCAACCAAAAGTCCATGCACTACACGGGGACCCGGGGTCAACTTCAACCATTCTTGAACTCACACCCCTCGCTTTAGCCATACAAGCCTCACTTTTTGTGCAACTCTCGAAATAAGATACTCAACATCTTTATTAAATGGCCATTCAATTAAAGTCCAGGTAAAAACACAACAAAACAAATCAAACCACAGGGCTAAAGCCTTTAGGTTGAATAGCAAGAGTGGATTAGAGTTGAGCTGGAAACCGACTAGTTATCAAAGGATAACAGAAGGTGATCTCTGTAGGATTAGTTTGAAGATAGTCAAGCCTTGAATCAATATGAATAAAGGTGACCTGCAATGCAACACAGACCAGTACCCAAGTTATGTTTGAGTGATCAAGAAATAATCCTACCTTCCTAACTGACCGCTGATGTTTATCTAAAAATGTAAGAAATTTCAGCAGCATATCCCCTAAACAGGATGGATTGTCAGATTTCTCCTAGCTGAAAATAATATAACTCTCCAAATTCTACAAAAATTTCGGCAGCGCTTCCTGTAGGAAATGTGTCTTTTCAGAATTTCTATCAGTTCAAAAATAACCAACTCTTTCAGATTTGTAGAAATTTCGACAGTGCTTCCCGTAGGGATAGGAGGTTGTCAAGATTTTTACAAAGCTGAAAACAAAAAGACAAAGCAAAGCTATACTGGGGACTAACTTCAGACACTTGCTTGGTAGTTAGAACATGAGATAATTTACACGATCCCTTCTAGAAGATGGTATCGTGAGCTATCATCAATTTTATCTTTGAGTCAGGTCAGTCCTATTTTTATCCCAAGCTCTCCTACTTATCATCCATCTCATTTATCTATGGCTCCAGCACTTGGCGAGCATCTAAAACAACTATCATATCGAAGAGATGTCCCAAAGTGAGAGCCCACAAGCATGTATAAACAAAACATCTCTCACGGTCCCACATCAATTTGAGCCAAGTAGTTCGTTAAATCACTCAGTTATTCTCCCCTTCTTATGTCCCCCCTTACTTATGGCATATGGTTAGATAAAGCCCTAACCTAAGGGAATGTCTGACCTGCCTAGGTAGACAAGTAAAGTACGCACAACTGGGCTGCTCTAACCTAAGGGTGTGCCCAACATAACATAAACTATATACATAAAGCATATGATCAGACTGCCCTAACCTAAGGGTGTGTCTGGCTTCTGCTTAACTGACGACATGAAGCATAGGACTAGACTGCCCCAACCTAGGGGTGTGTCTAGCCAGCTTTAAAAAAAGTTACATATGGAGTAGGGTTTAACTGCCCCAACCTAGGGGTGTGCTTAACCTCCCTGAACAACCACAAACGACAAATGGTTAGAACGCCCTATCCTAAGGGTACGTCCAACCCACAAGGCATTAACGACAAAGGCATATCACTAGGCTGCCCCAACCTAGGGGTACGCTTAGCTAACCTATACAATTTAAGTTACATAAGGCATTTGCAACCAGACCGCCTTAACCTAAGGGTACGTCCGATCTGCATGAACAAGTACAAACGACGTATGACTAAGCCGCCCTAACCTAAGGGTACGCTTAGCCTCCGTAACCACAATTTAAACAACCATGAATACTTTGTACAAACTTTATGATTTTCTTTCTTCTAAGGCAGATGGTCAGACCTACCCAACCTAGGGAGACATCCAACCCTGCCTTGTGTTTAAAAAGGAAAAAAAAAAAAAAATTATACTAACTCTCTGCCCCTTTTGTTATTACGAGCATATGGCTGAGCCCCCCTAACCTAAGGGTACGCTCAGCCTGCCCAAGTTACCTTCATTATACTCTTCATTCACCTCTCGTCTCTTTTTGTTCTACCTGACCTACTGACTGGCTTTCCCAACCTAGGGTGCCCTGTCTGTCAGAAGGTATAAGTTCAATAATATATATCAAATTTTATACTCTAGTTAGCCATTTTGTTCATGGCTTATGATTAAGCCGCCCTAACCTAAGGGTACGCTTAGTCTCATGCCCTTGTTCCCCTCAAAAGAAAACACACCTCAAGCCCATCAAAAGAAAACACCAGGTAACCGGCCCTTCCCAACCTAGGGTGCTCATCCTGCTGTTCAGAAACCCCAAAGAAAACAGCGACTTATCCGTCCAACCTAGGGTAGGCCCAGTCCTAAGGAGGTCATGCAATCAGCCCAGCAAACATAAATAAAACACAACACTCGACCCACTCAACCTAAAGGGGTCCAGCCTTGGGTTGATCCAGTTAAAGCAAGCAAAACGCCTTCATCCCACCTTCCCCCAGTTTACTTTGTCTGAATTTGCTCAAAGTATCTGATATCTCATATATACTTGTTGATTTACCTTTCCAAAAACATGTCCTGACATACATAACAAAACAAAAAGCAATATCCTTACATAGTTGTATTCAGATACCCAGGGGATAACAGTTAGGGGAAGGCATCACACGCGTCAAACGAGAGTTATACTTGAAATTCCCTGCCTCAAGAACCCCGCCTGGGCTCCGGCAGAGCTCCAGCAGTCGGTGGGGCGAACCTCCTACAGAGGCCTTGGCGCAGATTACGGGTTTCAATCCTGCCTGCCACCTTCCCCTCCGATCCAAAACAGACTAGACAGAGAGTGAGAAGGGTAGAAGGAGAGATATTTAGTCGCTCAGGATTTAGGAAAAGTTTCACTCATACTTGCATGGAGAGGGTCTTGTTATCTTCAACTCCTAAGGGCCCCGCAATGGTGGCCAATAATGCAGTGGAGATGGTCAAAACTAATCAAGATGTCGAGAAACGGTTGTCTGACTAAACTCCAAGCCGCAGAAATAACCTCTTTGCATTGCGCCCTTCAAGCGCGCAACAAAGACTCCCTTTGCTAATTGGATCACTTCCCCAAGTCACACCTCTCCATCCCCTAACCAAGACCCCGCTGCGCAGCTTACCGGGCAACATTCAAATGGAGTACACATCCCTTCGTGCCCCATTCAAACAGCGGCGAAGCGCAGTACTGTGCAGCAATTCGGCACCGTGAACTTAGCAGCAACAACAACAGCAAAACTCGAGACCCCACAACGGCAACATTAGCTTCTCCTAGCTAAGTCTGACAGCAGTTTGTCAAAGCCCAGCAACAATCTTGGTGCCTCGATAACAACAACCGCGGCACAAATGGTAACAATTCGCATAGCTGCAACAGTAGTGATCTCGACAACAGCCACTACAGCGCTCTCAACAGCGACAACACGGATCCGCTGAATCACAGCAACCTCGGTCCTAGCTGTGGAATTACCCAACAGTCTGACCCCAGGTCAACACCGGATTGGATAAGCCAGCAGCCACTCCAACTGCGGAAACCGGTCAGCATTCGAGTCTCCAAACTCGACTCAGCAGTACCTCGGAGCGGCTACACTCCTTGCTGCTGCCGAAACCCAGCAGCTCCTTGCACGGTACGGCGTTCCTGCCTCCCACCGTTCACGTGCAGGTAAGCCTCCTCTATCTTCCCTTCC